CTTCCTTTCACCTAAATCTTACACACTGGACCTTTAAAGCTCTGAGCATCACGTACACTGTGGATACAACATTCCTTTCTATACTTTTAATTTATGTTGATGAATACATTAAATATAGCAATGAGTTCTTACAAGAGGTTTAGTGATGCAAGAGAAGTCAAGCCAGCTAACTGATCCAAATTGTTAAGTCAGTGGATTCAAACTTGCATGTGCAATAAATAAAATTAGATCAAATAAATCCTGAAAATGTTCTCAGGATACCAAAGCTGTGTGCCTCCTTGCCTCTGTGAAAGTCACTAAGCAGTGTTATGATCAGGTGTAAAAGGAGATAATATTACAGATTACATGATCCACATTAACAAAGCAAATGAACCACAACAAAATGCACAAGCACTGTAGCTAATCAGGCTGAGTAAAGGTTTCAATTTGTCCACTGTTGATGGCATGTGTGGATACATACACAGACCAGATGTAAAGCTATATATGCAACTTTTCACACTGAATTAAAATTGAAATATTCATTCACCAAGGACTTTTTTAGGAACACTGCACACCTGCATATTGCCACTAAACTGTAGTGTATCCTTTCAAGGGTTTTCTTTTGTCTGTGTTTATTTGATACTCGTGGGTATAATTCTGATAATTATCAGATTAGTAGTTGGATTATTGTAAATATAATCAGTCATCTGATATCGACTATACTTGTGATGCCGATTTTAAGTGCTTTGTTTGATGGCTAACTTTTTATTTGTATACTGTTATATTGAGTGAGACTCAGACTCGACAGAGGTCTGAGCTCTGCTGAGAACATTTTCTAGTAGTAGAAATAATTGAAATGCATGTGCCATAATCTTCATTACCACTACTGATGGAGTTTACATTCAAAAAATATAGCTAGTGCTGATCCATATTTTTGTATGCCTAATTTGTAGAGTATGAATGCTGTGTTTGGTTATTGCAACTTTTCCACAGTGTAAATTTGATGTAAAGATAATTTAGATCTACTAACTAATCCTAACCCTTGAGCGTGTAGATTTCAAATGTGGTGTCTGTGCGCTCACAAAATACATTTAATTAAACCTTGTAGTCATGTCTCTTGTCTTGTTGTTAAAGCTACAAACAATCAACACACCAGTTATGCCTGCAAGGAGTGTATAATGAGCACTGTGAGCACACAGACAAAGACACAGAGCCATACAGACACACACACAGCCTCACTGTTGTATATTGAAGCAGATCATAGGAAACATGATTACTAAAATACTGTAAGCCTTACAAATACTATCAGAATGGGTTATTGTGCAGTTTTAACAGTGGGGTACTGCAAAAAAAAGTTAATTTAAAAAACTTTCACTTACCAGTTTCAGGTTGTAATATTTATTTTTAATTTTGAGGTTTCCATGTTTGTTCTAGTCTGTTGGCATCTGGTGAGTGTGAGGGTATCAAGTGAAAGTACAGCAATTTATGTTTTGTTGTTAATTACAAAAATAATATCAAGGTATTTGCTACATAAGGTAAAAACACATTTCTTTGAGGAGGTAATTGTGCTGACACCACCAGTGTTATAAGTACTATAGATACTAAAAGAAGTCTAATTATCAACCAAACTGCAGCAGTGAGTCTTTCCAAAATCTGTTTTATAAATAAGTATAACTACCAACTTGGGCCAAAATACTGAAATCTGCTACTTTTTCATTGTGAAATTTACTGAAGTTAAGCTGCACCAGATTTACTTGCTATCCATATTTACATCATGCTAAAACAAAAAAAGGGTTCTACTGCTATGAGCTGCAGAAGTAGAATATACTGAACGATCAAAAACTTTGATATTGTTCACGTTGGCCTTTAGAGTAGAATGATTTCAACAATGTGCAACACATCTTTGAGCAGGATTTTAAACAAGAAAAGTTGCATATCATAGCTATAGACATACAAGGAATACCATAAGCACTCATACAACTTTTTCAATACTCAGCAACGATGTCATGTAAACAAGTACACCACAACATAACAAGTGCAGAAGCTTACGTTGAAGGCATTTGAAGATACATGAGCACTGCAGGACAGCACTAAACTGATCTAATAACCATTACCTCTTACAAATGTCTTAATAAGATGATCACGTTTCTTATAAGGTGTAGGACATTCTCCTGTCAGGCTCATGAAACCCTTTCAAAACCCACTAAACTGGTTTTATCCCATTCACATCACTGTCATTCTATCCTTGCATCACACCATGGAGGTGTCTACATGGCTGGTCCAATCATATATTTGGGCTTCCATTGTTAATGAGGCTAGAATCAATATTTGTTCAACAACAAGTTACTGGAAATGTATAAAATTACTGTGTTGCATTCCTGAGTAATTCCACTCATGGATACTTAACTCCCACTTGGCCTGATTGTCTTCTGATACTTGGTCCGAGATTAACATGGGGTTAATGTGAATCAATCAAAATAGCACTCTACTAAGCTGCACGTGGATTCTTAGTAGTGACTCAGTAGACTTGTTACACACAGCTGACTGTTGTCCAGGGACTGTATAACAGAAACGACTCAAGTGAGATTTTGGTGTATTTTGTCATGTATCATGCCACTATGGCCACTGGACTGATGGATACAGTGTATATAGGCTACAATGAATGTGATAAATTATAGTAAATAGTAAGTTCCTGAATAATTAAAATGTAAAGTTTGTATAATCAAGATTCATGAGGACAGAAAAAAGGAATGTTACTTTGTTGTGTCCTCAAGAGAGAGAAGGTAACTTCAAAAACAGGAAATGGCACTTCATTCTCTGTATTCTCTTACAAAAAATAATTCATTTCTTAGCAATAAAAAACCTGTTTGCTTAAATCAGTTCACTCACTTTGCTGTTATAGTCTTACCTGTTCTGGTATGACCAACGGCTAACAGGTATGACTAATGTTATCGACAGCAGCAAATGCTGACAGATACTGCTGAAACTGACATTTTTAGTGATATTGTTTATCGTTAGTATTTTAGCATTTACCATTACTGTCATTGACCTTTTGCTTAAATGGTGCCACCTGTCCAATGTAACAATAACTAGGCACAGCAGGTCGCTCAACCTTTGGACTTCACAGGATGAAACAGAATATGGGGCTTTAGAAATGACAATGCTTGACATCCAGAGACTCCAATGGTGTGATTCTATTTTTATGTTCCCAGCCAGTAACACCAGAGCTAACATAAGCAGCTAAATTAGCAATGCTTGTCAAACCTACTTTTAAACTATAGATAGCTGCCTGGCATAATTTCAATGGGCCAGTGGCATATTATTAACTATGCACAATATTTTTTAGGGTTATAAGTCACATGTAAACAAAAAGGAGTGAGAGCTGGTCCCAGATGCCCTGATGCCCCTGTTTCTATCCTCCTGCTTAATGGGTGTGCAAGTTTACACTCAATGAATGCTTTATACCCTGGGTACGAAATACGAGGGGTCTCAGGGGTCAAAGACCCATTAAACAAATTATAGGTCTGGTGTCCTTGTACCCTGCCGCATGTCCTCCTACCTCACTCCCCCATGACCTGCGCTCACTTTACACGTTATCAATAAACACCAACACTATTCAGAAGTTATTATGATATGAACGATACTAAAGTTTACTTTGTGTTTGTTTGATTCACTCTATATGAGACACGTACTTGAACACATTGAAAAGAAATTCCCAAATTTTTGCACTCACGCAGACCATCTGCCACACAAAACACGAGACGTGCAGGGGATTTAAGTGACCGGATTGATCTGGATTGATGATCCGACACCTTTGATTAATTACTAAATAAATGGGATCGTCAAAAGAAACAGAGACGAGCGTGCACACAAACACACAGGCTGCAGACAAGAGAGACGTTCTTCCCACAGATTATAACGCAACAAAGTGTTTTCACTTCATTGTTACAGAAGACGCAACGCCCCACTTATCCATGACAACGTAAATATGAATTCCATCACTGGGTACTTCGCACACTGTTTATACCCCAGACAGTTTGCCAAACTCAGTGGTTGGTCATCATTCCCAAAGCCTTTAGAGGTCTTTCTGACTCATCACTGACTGAAACAGTAGCTTTTAGCAACGGAGCTCCTCACTGATGACTGAGAGCTCTACTGTAATTCAGAGTATGCTACTGCCTTATTAAAGCTTAATAAAACACAGAGAAAGCCATGAATTGACAACGTAATCCAAAACAATAAACCACTGAGCCATTAACCCTATGTGCAGTTAATGTAAGGGTTAAGTTTGAACAGCTTGAACCAGAAACAGATTGAATATACACATTGTACTTGTAAACTTGATGTTTAAATGTGCATTTAAACATCTGAGGGAAAAACGGACATGAACTAAATAGTGAGCATCTAAGAATCTTTAAACTGAGAGTGATTCATGATGTCCACCTCTAAATATGGATAAGAAATGGATACCCCATGTATGTAGGTGTTGACATATTCTTGGTTAAAACTGTGTCTCGAGGAGTCCTTTTCAAGCACTTTAGGTATATCAATGAGTTAGCCTGTATGGGCTACTCAAATCTGCCAGTTCATAGATTGTTCACAATCAAATCTTCCACCATTATTGTTGTGAAGAAGTTGAAAGGTATAGCATAGCAACAGTTAATAAGCAGGGGAGGAGCATATCAAGGGATGACTGGTGCCTGTGACCATAGAGGCCACTGTGAAATTGACATGGGCTCTCTTTAAAGCGTGAAACTTCTTTTGGAGTCTTTCCAGTTTTAGCTCAAATGAAGTTCATGGAAGAAAAAATACATAATTGTAAGTGTAGAAAAGGTAAAAATAACAAGTTCAAGGTAGAGGGACAAAACAGCACTTGAATGATGCAGTCTCTAGATCGCTGGCGCCATCTTGCCAGATTAAAAGTTGAGGATATTCATATTAATCTGTCTTTTAAACAAAAGCCAGCCAAAGGATGGTCAGCGCCATCACCAGCAGTCCTGTCACGAAGAAAGACATCCGTGACTGCCTGAGCCTGGCTGGGTTTAGCTCACATGGGTTAACCAAGCTCCTCCCCTCGTCTGGCACAGTGATTGCCACCTTTAGAGTGTGACCATGGCCTTGTTCTTCCTCCTCTTCCTCCTCCTCCTCCTCCTCATCATCATCATCAACCCAAGCAACCTCACTGTCCGCCTCATCTTCTTCCAGCAGGCAGGCTTGTCTGTACAGCGGTGGTCCCCCTGGCACTGGGGATAAACTATATGCTCTTACCTTTTGTCCAAACAGAGACTGCCTCCCTCGCTGTGCTCAGCAGCAGCAGACCAAGAGAGACAGATAACAATGAACAGAGAAGTGAAATATGGTCAACTGACAGGAGAGGGAAAAAGGGGGATAGAGCAATGAGGAAGGTGATACTGAAAGGGAGGTACAAGAAAGGGAGGATCAAGACAGTATTCACCAGGGAGGGGACATGGAGTTGTCCCTGTAGTCCCCCGTCACCTTCAACTTTTAATAAAGTTGTTTGTGATGATGTCTGACAGACGTTAACATGTACAGACAATTTACCTCACTGCATGCATTTACTGCATCTGTTTGTTTTGGGGATCCATATGTAAATATTCTAACTTAGCTAAATATACCCAGATAAACCCTTACTCTAATTATGACACACAGTTAAGATTTGGGTGCCTTACTATGAAACAGGATACATCTACATCCGGTCAAATCATTTGACTGCTTGTATTTTCTAACTTTACTTTTTGATACAAAGTTAGTATTAGTTGTAGGACAGTAAAAAAAATGATCTACATGTACTTATATGGACTATATTTTAGTCTCAACTCAGGGTTTCAGTCCAAAGTATCAGTTTGGTAACAACTATATTATGTTTTACATGAAGCATTAAACTATTTTTTTCCAACGTGCCATCAAACCTCATGTGTTTGTTGTATTTTTGCACAATGGTCTGCTCCTGTTGGATGGTATATAAGAACACTTTCTATCTTCAACACTTAAGTGCATTGATTACCATGACATATGAGTACAAGAAATAATTTTACAACAGGAATGAGGTTAGCTATAGCTTGTTGCAAAGATAGGCCTATTCTATTATTGTGCTTGTTGGCTAAGTAGACAGCGGTGGTTGTTTTATAGTAGCCCGTATGAACTGTGGTTTAATAACGCACAGATAAGATCATTTACTGTGTAATCAATATAATGACAACATCCGGTTTGCCAGCAGATGAACTTTAACAAACTGGAAAATCTGAATGTATGAGACAGCTGCAAGACGGACAATGCAGATTAAAGTAGCAGCCATGGCTATACATTGGTGAGTGTGATTACAATGTTGCTGAAATATAAACATGATGTGTTTATATTTCATGTACTCTTTTTGTTCTGTGGGTCACCTGACTGTGTGACTCCTCTGGGCGATACTATAACAACATTTTTACCTAACCTTTTACCTTAAGTGAAAATAAAAGATATTGTTTGCTATATTGGTTTAAAAATGTATGTTATTGTTTTCTGTAAGTTAAAAAATCTAGGTATACCCTGCAACCGAGCAAAGTTGCTCATTTGTTTCCATGACTTCTAAAAAGATTATTCATTGGTGAGAACGCTGTCTATATGACATTTAGCTTTTGCCTGAGTTCCTGCAGGACACAGAGTGAATCAAGAAGATAGCTGGAGCTGATAAAAGCTAGTGGCCACAGTTGTCTAGTCAGCTGGAATCATATGAACACAGATCTACCACTCTGTTAAATCAGGGAACAACTTTTTAAATAGGTACATGGTCTGTATTTTTAATTACCGCCATTAGCAAATCCGCATATAGGCGTAGCAAAAGTAAGTAAGTGAAGGGAATTATTGCTGTTGGTTGAAATTATTTCACTATAATTTGTTCCCATTGTAATTAAACAATAAACATTGAGAAAAATGTTCTCTAAATGAATATCAAATGAACATTTTAACACTGAAACCCAATCATTCATATGAGCACTAGCTGAGAATGTGTTGGCAGTAACAGTGACGGGGTCTAGCAGGGGAGGAAGAGTATTAATAAATATCTGCTCCATGGTGGGAGCAGGACAGCTAGCATCCTGGCTAGTGCAAGCCATGTTTGGCAGTCCAAATTAAAATAAACTAAAAACTATAATATGTCAATTGCATTGCTTTACAATGCATCAACAGCCTGTCAGGTATTTTGAAGTCTCAAATGACAGGAACTCTTGAAGAGCTCACAATGAAACACTTTTTAAGGTAGATCTGCACTGCAGTCAGTGGGGGTGTATAACTGCACACAAGGCAATATCTGTGTTAAGCCTGTACAGTTAGGAGAGAATCTGAGAATTTGAAAACGTGTCTTATGGTGATGCAATCTAGGCTATTTCTTTTTATAATCTCATGTGTCATCACAATTCCTAGCATCCAGCAATATTGAAGAATCACCAAAATTGTGCCTCTGGCATTCAGCAAAAAAGTGCTCTTATGGCTGAATTCTTGTGTTTGTTTTTTTTATTTTAATGAGATGATGTCATTTTTGTGCAGGACCCCATGGCTGGGATATTAACTGTGTCTTCAATTTGAGAGTAGAGGAGAGCAGAGAGCCAGAGGGCGACTCTGGCAGGTCAGAGGGCTGAGATCCTCTCTGACCTTCAGTGTCATTGTCTGAACGCGTAGGAAAGGATGGTGAAGGCTGTAGGGCAAAGGATGGAGTTGGTGGGGTTTTTACTGGGGCCCAACCAGGCCCAGACTTAAAAAGAGCAAGGGTATAAGGAGGACAGATGTGGCAGAGATACAAGACAGAGACACAGGAAAACACATAAAGACATCCAGGTAGGGACAGATACAGGGAGGAAGATTGGAGGGTGAGACAGATGGAGGGAGGGGGTTGTCAGTCTTCTGGCTACTAATCATTCTTCTTTAGCTTATTGTACCTGTGTTCTTTTGTTCTCCACTAATTCTCACTAATTCGGGCACAAGAGTCATGCAAATTCATTACCATTAATCTAGCCATGCACATCAAGCAGGATGAAAAAGCTTGCGATAGCCATTCACAGTGCAAAGGCAGTGGTGAGGGACCACGTTTAAGGTTAAAGGGTATGGGATCCAGGACAAGGCACCTACAAGGTGCCAGTATGCTTCAAACTAAGTGGTTTTCAGGTTGTTGAACTCTGCTGAAAGTCCCTTTCCTCCACTTACACCTTTCCCCCTTCGTTTCAGGGGGCTGCAGTTTTTCCAGCTTTTGTAACTTTTTCATGAAGAGTTTGTGCTGGTGAGGGTATGCAAGATTTAAATCCCTCCTACCCTTTTTACAATTTTCACTCAACCACTTTAGTCACTTCTCATGTGAACAGTCAAGTACACCACCATGAATGTGTTACAAAGGAGATTGTTCCAAAGAGTCCACCCTTGACTCCAGTTTTACTATTATTATTGTACAATTTACTCGTCTCTCTCTATGATGACAAACCCTTCCCCCTCAAGTGTGCAAGTGTTAGAAATACTATAAACACGTCTTAAGACATGTTCCGACAGCACTTATACAAACTAGCTGGTTTGAAGCATACTGAACCCCTAATGTTGCAGCTGAGCACAGTCTGTTGAACTTGAAAAGCTGCTTGTTAACAGAGGGCCACGGCCAAGGCCTCCAGGTGCCATTCTTTACATAGCTCATGAAGAAAACGCCAGACAGATTTGACCTTCTGCAGCCTGTGCCAGAAAGCACTAGATCAGAGCACCTTTACCTCAGACACGCCATCAACTATTCTGTGTGCAGGTACAACTGCAGACATCCTCCCCTGCACACACACACACACACAC